TTTTCACATATGCTCCCCATTGAGGCGCACATGCTCATCGAATTTCATTTTGATATGTTTTTAGAAAAATAATAGTAAACAATACTGTTGGTCTAAAATGCTATCAATATCAACCATCTGATCAGGATTCGTTTTCATATAAGCTCATATCAATATATAGAACAAATAAAGTTAGGTATTTCAACTTTTTTATTATTTTTATTTATTTATTATACATTGGTATGAGTTTAATACACAACGTACATACTTCTCACACTCACAAACCTATAAAAAATATTTCAAAAGAGAATGAGTGAAATTCTATTAGAATTTTGGTCCAAAATTGCAATATTTTCAAATGACAAGAAAAAAAGATTTGAGATAGCAACTGGTTACCGTTTGGGTAACCCCATTAGATTTTATTCCCAACAAAACAGATTATGATGCTCAGCAAAATTTGCCCAAAAACGTTTTCGCTCAAATTTTTTTGGCTTCCTTTGCGTCTTTCCCCTAAACCTTCTCGAGTTGCACATACAAAAGCTCTCTCCCACTCTCAAGCAGGTCTCACTGCTCTTTCCTTATGTCATCTTCAACTATGTAGATTTTTTTTGGCTTCCTTCTTCACACCTTTCTTTCAAACCTTCCCAGTCGCACTTACAAAAGCCTCTTTCCTACTCTCTCTCGCACTCTCAAGCAGTCTCATAGCTCTTTCATAGCTCTTTCCTTGTCTCACAGCTATTTCCTTGTCTCATCTTCGACTCTGCAGGTCCCATCTCCTAGTTCTCTCTCTAAAAAATAAACATTTCCATCTTTCTCTCTCTAGAAAGTCGCGCCCCTAATTTCACACAGCACTCTATAGCATTTCGACGGGTTGCTGAAGAGTAGTTGTACTCCTAGATAACTAAATAACATAGAGTTTCTCTATCTAAAGTTAATGGAGTAGTTTTCTGAATATGCAGAGGGAGATGTTTTACAACCTCAAAACATTTGCAGACGAAGGTTTGTAAAGGACGTCTCACTTATTTTGCTCATCTATCAAGTTACTCTCTCTCTAATAATAATATTGATCTGTTCCTGCTCCTGCTTTCATCTCATTCTCTCTGCATTGTACATTTTGCCCATCCATCAAGTTACTCACTCTAATAATAATATTGAACTTCTCTCTGCTCCTGCTTTCTGGGTTCTTCTCATTCTCTCTGTCTTGTACAAACTACACATCTAGAAGTTACTCTCTCTCAAATAATAATATTGAACTTCTCCCTGCTCTTACTTTATGGGTTCTTCTCATTATCTCTGTATTATAGGATTCTCTATGTATTATCGGAATAAACTGTACATCTAGAGAGAGAGAGAGAGGAATCAATAATAATTAAATTATGAAATTACATAAATTGGGTTTGGGATTTCTTATCGATTTCTTTGCAACACATCCAACATACATATTTGACAAATAAAATTTTATTCTCATATTTTAATAGACATCCAAACAGTCTACCAACATAATAAAATAAAACGATAATGTTTCTCAATTGAGGAGGAAAACAATTGCATTTTTTTTCAATGTGAATATTTTTTTCTTTGACATCCAAACTGGGCCTTAATCTTATTAAAATTATTTTTTTAACGAGAGGTGCATGCACCCTCCAAATTTCACAAAGATCTAATTTTGAGATAAACTAAATCATATGAAGATAGGGCAACATTTTCAAAATGACAACACAGTAAAAAAATGAGAGTTTTGCTTTTCTCAATTTTTGAGAAATTTCCTTTATTGGGTTGGGGTGGGGTGGGGTATTACAATGTAATTATTAAAAATGAGAATTCCTTGTCTCAAATTCGAACTTTTCATTACAGCAATGGGTGATTTTGAGACTGACCATACTAATCAAAGTCTAAACTTGCCTATATTGTGTCTAAACTTTAGATTTAAGAGCCGAAAGAGGCCTGTCAAATTCAGGTCAACAGAGAAATCAATCTTTAAAATACCCATTCTTTATAAACCTGCGGAGGAGTCGGCTTAAGCAGTGTGAAATCCACCAAAAGCAAAAACAAACAAAAATAAAAACTATCTATGAGAATGAAGACAAATAGCAATAAAACTTAAGAAAGATTATAAAGCAAAGTAAATAGTAAAGAAATGACGTTGAGAAAGAACTTGGTGGTTGAAAAGACTTTATTTAATGACGTAGAGAAAGAACCTGGTGGTTAAAAAGACTCTATTTATATGACTACATGGTTCTATGACTAGAGACTAAGGTTTCATCTTCAGGTCCTCAAAAAATTGACTGAAAAGACTCTATTTATAATCATAAATGTCTCAAAAATAGGAAGGCCATGTTATTGGACAAATCAGGGGCTGACATGTGTCCGCTTTGTGCTCTGATACTTGTTCTGCGCGGAAGCTCTAAACTCGATGGGTTAATATTAGGCAAATAAAGTACGAGAAATAAAATATGGAATACACACTACAAGAACACAAAGATTTACGTGGTTCACCCAAGATGGCTACATCCACGGGCACGACAAACAGAAATCCACTGTACTAATGAAAGTTACATCAAAGATTTTGAAACAAACATCGACAAAAAAACCAAAGTCGAGCAAATCCTTTTAAACCACTCTCCATTCATTCTCTTTACTTATGACAATCATTACCAACAACACCAAACAAAAGAGCAACGAGAAACTTACTTTCTCTCTAACTAAAAGGGGAACAATAAAACATCTCTATTGAAACCGCATCTCTACAAGAAACAAGCATCTCAATCTTTAGAGTCTAAAAGAGACACCATCACAATGTTTATGTCCAAAGGAAGCTTTCTTCTCTCTCAAAGGAAATTGCATCTTATGCACAGGTGACTCTAGCTCCCTCTCTCTCTCCAGAGGAACCACCATTTCCATATGATGACCCAAATAAGGCACACAAATTCTCAGCACTTTCATCCCATATATAATATTAGGATTCCATACTAAATAGAAAACTTCCTATAGATCTTACATATATCTCAAAACCACAAGATAGATCTAAGAGTCCTAATCTTTTTGGATTTTTATTTCTTTTAGGAAACTTATCAATATAAATCTCAATCCCACAAAATATGGGAATATCTCAATCCCACATAATATCGATCAATTTCAATCATTCCCACAAATATATGGGATTTCCATATGTGGGTGATTTTGGATAGCACCAAATCTAACATCCGTGGCCTGATATGCGTCATTCTTGGGGAATATGGGGCATATTGCATTGTAGAAAAGGTATCTTTATCAATTTGCATAAAAAGTTGCATGGAGTCCCATGGTGTTGGTCAATCGAAATTATAAATTTCTTTGAGGTTGCGATCCACGATTTTTTTCCTCGCTGGGTTTAGAAACAACCTACTTTCTAGGATGTTGGTTTCCGACCTTGGAGATTCAGAAATATTGATATATTAGGTTTTTGGGAATATTTGGATTTCTAATATTTATGATATCCGGAATATCTGGATAATATTTAGGGAATATTTGGTTTCTTAAGTTTAAAACTTTGTGATATGAGGATATTTATTTTCCAAAAAATTAGATATTTAGGGTATTTAGAATATCTTAGGAATATTATAATCTGGACTTTGGTTTATATCTGGACTATGGTTCAATATGGATTATGACGTATTAAAATAGTATGCTCCAGGGTTTTAAAACTCAGACATAAAATAAAATTCAAAGGGGCTTGTATACAAAATCCTAGTTTCCATGCTAGGAGTTGCTGCAGGGTGCATTTTGCAAACTAGAAATTTGATTGTCAGAACTTGGAATTTTGGAACCGTATAGCTATTACTTGTTTGACAACTATGAAGAACAACGGAATTCTACATTTCTTAAATATGAGAAATATAGTTTGTCGACCTCTTAACACCCCACTTGAAATTGACCTTTTCAATGAATCTTAGATTCTCATTCTAATGTACAGAAAATAAGCCATAAGCGACAGAAAATAACCTTAGATCAACATATTTAATTTCTAGGGACCATAGTAGTTCAATACACCATCGTTTGATTGTGGCATAATCCAGACTAGAATATTGCCAAATATTCTCTAAATTCCATAAAATCCAAACTTAGGAATCCAATTACCTGGAAAGGCAGCTTTTTAAAGTGAATTGGATACAAAATATTATGAAAACTGTTAAAACGTGTGCAATTTTGAACAAAAATGTCAAATAAATGTAATGGTGATCAAAATCTAGAGAAAATCAGTGTAATTCAAATGTGATTAGCTGCACCGTGCATGAATGAGAAATCCACTTGAAAAGCTCACACAACCATGTGTCGACTCGGGATTCGCTCGAAATGACTGCCTTCCAATTTTGGGTGAATATTTCCTATTAGATGTTTAGTCCTTTCTTGAAAACTTAGTTAAGCATTCGTGATATCTCAAAACCTTAGGAAATCACCCATAATCCCCCGTAAAACTTAATGTTTAACTTAGAAAGAAAGAGTATAAAATACACAATGTAGGAGTGCCTACAAAATAATTACACCACAAGATCAAAGATAGATTTTTGAAGTTTTGGATGGTTAGATCTAGGTCTTCAAGTACTTAATAATTTTTTTCTTTGTTTAAGAAATTACTTATGTATTTGTTCTAAAGTAAATATAAAAATTTCATTTAAAAAATATTTCAAAACATAGATCTTTTGCTCCTTTATTCTTCTTAGTTCTTTTAGTTTGATTGATAATTAGAAATATAATTTTACCTTTGGGGGTGGGTGGATATTTTGCTTCCAATTGAGCACATTACATGTTACTTTAGGGAAAGTACGCTGGAATTCTCATGACCACATGGATCATAGGTTCAAGATGTCCATCACCGTTCAATCAATGTGCAGGACATTGTGAGGTGAGAGCAGACCAGAGAAGAACATGCGACGGGTTCGCCTTTGGTCGGTCTCACGAACTCATCAACACAGTCCAAATTGAACGGCGATCCATCGCTAGACGGTGTTTTCGCAATCCTTAAATAAGACTTACTGGAAAGGCACACTCGTTCCTTTGTTTATTTTCAAACAAGAGAGAGATGGGAAGGAATAAGAAAGGAGAACCTCCCTCCGTTCGGGTTTACACTGTGTGCGACGAGTCCAGGTTCCTTCAATCTCTTTTTTGTTTCTATTTTCTGTTTTTAGATTTTCTCTTGTTTTTATTTTTTTTTGGGCTCGTAGTTAATTTTCTTTTTCTTTTGTTTTCCCTTCACATATGTTAGTGTTCCAAGCCCAAAAGCAATCGAATTGTTACCCTAGAGTTTAATCTTTTTCATTTGTTTGGGGTTTAATTTATAGTTTCAATAATCTCCATGAATTCTGTAATTTTATTTGTAACATATGCATTACACATGGTTAAGACATAAAATTTCGAGCGGTTATTTTAATTTAAATTTCTGTGTGTTTTATTAGATAATAATCATGGCGTAAGTTATTGACTGGGAGCAATTGCATTGATAACAAATCAGATGCTTGTTTTTGATAGAGTATTTTGTCTCTTCAGAGACATCCGATAAATTGGAATTATACCGAGGCGATTAGCATGGCCCCTGCACAAGGATGACATGCACAAACGAGAAAATGTTCCAAATTTTTTGTTTCTTCGGAGACATCCGATGAAATTGAAATGGTACAGAGTATTTTTAGGTCCTTTTTACTAGGCTACTCTTGGTACAGTGAAGTTCTTTATTATTCTCCAAGAGAACTTCACACTTAACCTCGTTGCCCCATAAAGCACAAAACGTTTGAATTTCCTAAAATCAAACATCATTTTCTCTTGCTTTAGGAGTTTTATTACTTTTTTTGTAATTTTGAGTTTAGGAAGCTTCTTAAATTTTAATTCACTTAGTTTTTGTTGGATCAGGATAATGTCACATGATGCCGGATTTTGATGAAAGTTATTAACGCATCTTTATATATGCTCACCCAAAACTGCCACCACATTAATTACTGTTAATTATTGCATGGTTTTATTCTTTAACATTAGGGAACTGATATTTTTACATTTTAGTATTACACATTCACATTCATGATTCTTTGCCGTAATACATTTTCTTTATTTGCATCAGTATTCAAGAGCTCGGTAGAGTCAATTTGGAAACCTTGGCCGAGTTACTCGCCTCAGCGATTGGCCGAGGCGAGTTCCAATGGGTAAACATACAGTACTCAGGGTACTATACGGACTCGCCCAAGTACTATAGAACTTGGGCATGATTCCCCTGAGTTCTACAGTACTCAGGCAAGTCAGTATAGTACTAGCCCTGCCATGATTGACAATAAAAGAGCAGTAACCTGCTCCCATTGTCACAAAAATTCGTCATAGAAGCCCCAAATTGAGTCATTTTGAGCCGAAATTTCATATATAGCTACAAAATCACTACATCTACCAACTGGAAAATTAGAACTGTCTAAAAATATTATATTTCTAACATTTTGAAGATAAATAAATTGGGGAATTTTTTACCCAATTTTGGAAACTTCAATTTCTTCGATTCCGGTATCTGATCTTTGATTAAAATCAAAGCCTAGGATTATCTTTGTGTTCTTAATCCATCCAAGGGCTACTTTGTCCACAAAAATAAAAAAGGAACTTATTTTTTAGTTTTTGTACTTTTTTATTTTCTCCAAATTTTTCTTTTTATTTTTTTGGCCTTGTTTTGGCATAACTCTGGCAAGGGGGTGAGTCCCGAGTCCAAGTAGAGTTTTGAGACTTTGATTTGCATGGAATGTGCTCAAATTAATCTATTTGTGTTTTGCAGATACTTGATTGTTAGAAATGTACCAGCTTTAGGATGTATTGATGAGCTTGTCAAATTGTTTGGTTCTTATGGACCAATAGATGAGTAAGTGCTCTATTTTGTATCACTTTTGAAATTAAGAATTATATAGAATTATCATGCAAGATGTGGTTTTCTTGATTGTGTATTTGTAATTTTACCACAACTACTGCATTTTCAATAATGTTAGCCACATGGACTTTGTAATAATCTTCTTCTTACAAGACAATATTTTCGTGATTATTCTATACTTCATAATTGGTGTTTCTTTACATTTTTACCACAAAATGATTTTGCAGTTTGATTAACCTTAGTTGTGTGGAGTTTTTTATCCTAAAGGGACTGCAAGATAACCAAGAACAAAGTCATTCACCTTTATAATAACTTTATTGGTTATATTTGGAAATCATTATGAAGGATAGCTTCTGCTATCTTAAGAGACTGGGTCTTTTTGATGTAAGGATTGGGATAAGAACCTTCTCTCAATGAGTATTCAGGTCCCCTTATATATTGACCCCATTTATTCTTTAGTCTACAATACTGACAAAATGTTGTCTAATATTCCAATCCCTAAGAAAACCTTTGGTAAATATCTAGAGTCTGGATGAACTGGATTGCTGTGGAGTTATGTGGTGAATTTCTCAAGTATTGATCATATGGATTCTGAACTTTGATAATTATAGAGAACCAAAACCCTCTAAAGTGATAGTTTCCTGTAAGAAGTGGATACACGTCTCCTTGATTGTGCATCAATGTCCATGCAAGGAGCTGGTGGAAAACTCCCTTGACTTCTTTTGTCTAAACATGGGCACACTATTTGGATAAAGTGGTGGTTTTCCAATAACCTGTGAATGAACGGTTATGGGAATATGATCATGCAAAAGTGTGGAAAGGGTTGATTAATGAAACTTCAAGCCTTGGCACAAATTTCTGAAGGAGGAGACAAACAAAGGGACTTGCCTCAGTAAACATTGTTCTTGAACAATGAGCAAAGCATCTTTTATAACTTGATCAATAGTCACCATACTTAAAAATATTTCATCACTTCCTGACATTTTTGCCTATTTAATTTATCCCAATTTAAAAGGCCTGCTTTTTCTAAAAAATTATTAGAAGAGGAGACTGCTCTATGGATACGTTTCCCGCACGCCTACATTTTGGTTTTGTTGAGTGCAGTAATAGATACCATCATGGGATATTAGGCCAAAGCTGCAAGTTTTTTATTGCATTGTCGGAATGTTTGCAACTGTCTTCAATCCAAAGTTAATATTAAAGGGCAAGCTTTCTATACTTCCCATGCAGCATAAAACTTATATACTTCCCCCTATCCAACCGTCCATTCTGAATGGACGGCTGAGATGTAGCCCCAATCACAATGTCACATCACTACGCTATTTTTTTTAATTTTTTTCTACAAAAGGGCGTCCACTGCTCTCTTAAACTCGCATTTGTCAAACATATAAAAACAATATTCCCAATAAAAAAGAATGACCAAAATACCCCTGAAAATTTTAAGGCGTATTTTGGTCATTGTATTTTGTCGAAAAATTCTTTTTAATATTTTTTTAAGTGCGCCCCATTGAGAAGATGACATATGCGAAATTTCACATTCATACAATTTGTAGAAAAAAAAAACTAAAAATAAAATGAGGCGTCGGATCTAGATCAAACGGTCAGTGGCTCACTTGATCTAAATTGAACGGCTGGTTGGAGGGGGAAGTATATATCTTCTATGCTGTAGGGAAAATATAGAAACCTTTCCCAATATTAAATTCATGATTGTGGTCATTTATGATTTTTATGTCGCTGTTTGTATTTAAGGCTCAAATGATGTCACTCTTGTATTTGTTTCTTGCCTTTAGCTTCTTGAGAAAGAGATTAGTTATATTGCCAATCTATTAGGTATCTCATTTTGGCATATGTGTCAATGGTTCAAAAAATGCTAGGCGGCCTGCCTGGCGCCTAGTGCCTAGCACCTAGTGCCCAGTACCTAGGCGGGCGCCCAGAACCCCGGGTGCCTTGTGGTGCAAATTCTTAGTTTTTTTTATATATTTGCTATTCAAATGCACATATGTGCATATATTTGTGTCAAATTTTGTAATTTATTCCATTTGAAAATATCGCAAGTGCGCAACATACGTTTTTATATACAAACATATCACATGTCTCAGCCTCTCAGGTAATCAGGTTGAGAATAAACTTATTCAGAATTTCAAACCATACAAAACATTTTAAAAGTCTAATAAGGTATTGTAAGGTCTCCAACTCTCATATTTTCCATATTCCATATCCATAAAATAAACCATAATAACATCCAATTCTCCAACTCTCCAAGTCATCAACAAACTAACTTCCAAAACTATAAAAAAAAATCAGTAAACCACACAACGAAGTAGTCCAAAAAGGCAAAAAAATTACAAACCACATAACTAAATAAAAATCGTCCAAATGTTTAAAGCCCAAATCAAGATGGTGCAATAAAGTATTAAAGTTACTTCAAAAGAAGAGAGAAGACAATCAAGACATCAATAAGAATCAGAATCATCATCTTCAGTGCTTTCATCTGCATCAGAATTGAGGCTGTCATCATGAGAATCATCACCCTCTTCAACATATTCCTCTTCTTCCAGAGATTCTTCTGAATCTGCCTCCTCTTCCTCTATCTCCCTCCATGAAGTACCAGTAGAAGAAGTTGCTTGAGTGGCCCTCCTAAGATTAGAAGCTTGCCCTGAAGCCTCCTCGACCATTTCTCATGTCAAACCCTCCCCAGGGAAGACCTACTCAGTACTAGGGTCACTAATTAGCCAATCTGAAGCATTCGCCATGTCTTTCGAAGAGATAGGGTCCTTCTTTGGCTGGTTTTTCTTCTCCTTGAGCCTTTGATTCTCTCTAACAAAAACCAAGTCATTGAGCTTCTTTTGTTCAAGCCTATTTCTTCTTTTTGTATGCACCTATAAGGAAAAATAATGTATAAGTAACTATTATGAATCTATGATCTTCTTACCTTTTATGAATCTATATTACAAAATGACCCTATAAACAAAAAAAACGTATGAATTGTAAAATAGTAAAATACCATTTCAAACGAACTCCAATTGTGCTCACAACCAGAAGAGGTAGTTATCAAACTCAAGATCCGTATAACCATCTTTTGGAGGTTTGGATCGTTACTCCCATGTTGTCTCCACCATTGGGCTGCAATATGTGGCCAACCTTTATAATTAATTTAGGTATTTAACATTATTATAACTTGAAAGAAAATTATAAATTTATATTTTATAAAGCAAAAGTCAAAATAATAGTACCTGGTTCGTATTTGTTTCTCTGTCTTAATGCCATATCTTTCCTAAATGACGTCAAAGAACACTTGTAGAAAATTAGCTCTTCAGTTGATATCTTATCTTGGATATGTGGATCAGAAACTAATTTCTCAAGGCACTCATTAAAACCATCAATAATTACCCCTTTTGACTCGATATCTGCATCTGCATAAAAGAATTTGGGGTTGAAGTAGTACCCTGCTGCATGCAATGGTCTATGGAGTTGCCTATCCCATTTGTCATCTATAATCTCCCAAATTGGGGCATACTTCGCGGCATCATTGCTCAAATTCTCTGCAATCTCATTTTTAGCCCTTTTCATTGCATCATATATAAAGCCCATGGAAGGCTTATCAGCATCAACCAAGCGCAAGACTTTCACTAAGGGAAGAAATACTAATATTGCATGCTTCACCCCACGCCAAAAATATTTTGAAAGAACAATATCTCGTGCTTTCTTTCCCTTGGCATCTCTTGACCACTTATACCTGCTCCACTCCTCTGAAGCAAACATAGAACTTAATGCGATTCTCCTCCTATACATACTCTGTAGACTAAGGTAGGCAGTGGCAAATCTAGTGATCCCAGGCCTCACTAGCTCTCTCTTTTTTGCAAACTTGTGCATCATGCTAAGGATAAGTATGTAACTGTATATGAAGATTGTAACCTCCTTAGCCTTAAAAATAATAGTAGGGAATTCACCAATTGCCTCAAGCATAAGATCTACGCAATGTGCAGCGCAAGGAGTCCAAAATATGCGAGGCCTCTTTTGTCAAAGCAAATGACCTGTAGCTAGATTGGGAGCAGCATTATCTGTGATCACTTGAATTACAAGTTCCTCCACAACCTCCTCAATGCCCTTATCAATGAAAGAAAATATATAATGCGCATCATGAACATCATTGGAAGCATCGATTGAGCGCAAAAAACCTGTAGCCGTGAGACAATTTATTAATAAATTCATGTTACTCCTCCTCATAGCACTCCACATATCTGTCATTAACGAAACCCCAAATTTAGCCCATCTCTCCTTATGAGGCTTGAGATATTCGTTAGTGTCCTCGATTTTTTTCTTTAGTAGTGGCTCTCCAATCTCATAAGGAGTTGGAGCTTTCAAACCTGGCCTAAATTGCCCAATTGCTTCCAACATTGTATGGAAGCTATTCAAGCGAGCAATGTTAAAAGAAATGCCCCCATGGAAAAACCACCGAGCAATATACTGAATTACCCTGGCTCTATCTTCCTTCTTAAACCTATTTTCAATTGTCACTTGTTTTTTCTTCTTTTCTCCCTTGCCTTTCTCAATTACTGTCTCAAGGCTAGGTGTAAGAAAACTATCTATAGGCCCTCTCGTACGAGCCTTTTTAGACCCAAAAGCCCATTTGGTCTTAGAGCTCTGTGTACCAACCATGGCTACCTCTTCTTCCCCCTCTTCATCCTCTTCTTCAATGTCAATATTATCATAAAAAATATGGACCCCTGACTTTAATTCTGCTATATCTTTTTTTTTTGCAACTTTTTTACTCTTTCAACTTCAATTTACTCCAAAATTTATTTCTTTACAAGATTTGGGACTTTCTTACATGGGGCAACATCACCTCTAATTCGGACAAGATGTTTCTTAAATCTATTTATGCCGGCATTAGAAACATGTCTACAGAAATTGCACACATAATTTTATTTCGTCATTCTTATCAGGGTTAACACAATATTTCGATCCCGGATCTCCACTCCTAGTAGACCTCG